CAGTTGAGCTCTGCACAGAACTATCTCTGCCCAAAGAACAGACCAAGCATCTAATGCTCTGTGAATGAAGCCCTTGGGCAAATATACTGTATTTTTTAGGTAAAAGTCACACCAAGTTAACTGAGTGAAAATTACATTTACTGATGTAGCCGGGAGTTTAGCTGGCCAGGAGAGAGGCAACCACAGAGATACCATGCTACAGCTGCTCTAGGTGCTTACACAGTAGTCCCATGCGGACATAGTTAATGCTGTTTTGCCCCTGTTCACCAGTAGGACATGAAGACCTAGAAAGACTTTGCGACCACGCTGGACTATGGGAAATGCAATTCATGGAAAGGACTTTGTGGATTGGAGCAACACACATATTCGCTTGCTGCTTGTAGCTAGTAGAGGTGCTTTATCATTAGGCTGCAAACTGGGACTTCAGCAGCTGGAGGCCAGAGATGAGCCAGAAGAGTTTCTAGTTACCAAGCATCTAGGCCGAAACCTTCCAAGTGTACAGGACTGGTGAGTGGCTGCTTGTTGGGTTCACATTTCCAGAGTTAACAGAGGGAGAGTGATCTTTATTAGGTAGCACTACCTGCAGTATGCAGAATCTTAAAAGGATGGTAATTAGGTGCATCATCTTAAAGGATGGACCCCACCAAATAGCCAGAAGAAGATTGCAGGCAAAAAGGCAATTAAGTCTTGACTGCCTCATGGTGATCCCCCACTGAGTTTGCCCATAGCCAAGGACACGCCTTGTGAGTTACATATAAGGGCACTTTGGGATGTTCAATGGTTACAGTCTGATATGAACGATGGTGCTGCTATAGGTTACTATAGTAGATACTGCTTTTGCTGATGGTATTCTCTGCTTGATCTATTTTTGTGGAATAAGTATTAAGTGTAAGTCACCATAATCTAATATCATTACTGCTAACTAGTTTAGAGCAATAACGCTCTCACCAACTGAAATTCTTGTACTATTGCTTACTCTTAATTTGTGACAATATACTTTACTTGCAGTCAACCAGGCTGGTGTCCACTTCCTGGTTCTTTTTCATAGCAGCATGCACGACACTTATTTTTGCACATATGTGTTTGCAGCAAACCTCTACCCAGTTAGATGTGTCAGAAAGGACAGAGATGTAGCATGGGAACAGAGAACCCAATACATCCAGCAGCTCCTTCTGGGAGTGTTACACTGACACATACAAATGATTAACACAGAAAAACAATTCTACAAGCATACAACACTTTTTTTCTAAATGCAGTTTAGAGAATGGACTTACAATCTAGAACATAATTTTATTACAGTTACTTATATAGCACAGTATATTTACACAGCGCTATATTGTACATTCACATCAGTCCCTGCCCTCAAGGAGTTTACAATCCAAGGTCCCTAACATTCATGCATATCAATCTATAGTACAACTGCCCTCATTGTGAGGAACTGTCCCTTTATTGAAACCAAATACATCTTCCCCTCTTTCCTTCTCTGATGTCCCTCATGTTGATCTAATACATAGACTTCTATGAGCAACTGTATTCTTTTAGGGACAAGGGTAGGCACACAATTTTGTTTGTGTGCATGCATTGAATGAACTAGGCTGGTATGACAGCATTTATGGGGTATATACATGTTACATGTTTGAAGCTATACTATAAACACAATTTGCAGTGAAGTCCAACATAACTTTATATTCTCCTTTGTGTGCTGACTCTTAACCTGGCATCTTCCCGCAGGGCAGGATTCTAATGCCCCAATTCACTTTTTCTATCAGCCACCCAGTAATTAGCAGGGGTGCAGCAAAGGTTCAGTTATCTGAACATCTGTCATTTTATTAATGTTCATTCCTCATTTTGCAGATGAAGTTGGCTTTTCCATTACACATATGTGTACAATTTACTTATAGCGTTACTTGTTTCAGTCATATAGTGACAAATCAGAGCAATTGGAACGAATATTAAATATTAACAAATCATTCTATTATAATAACCACTTTAGGGAATACAGGGAAATCTTCAGTTCAATGAGAAAAACCTTAATTTGAGGGGTATCCAACTATATATGTTGGAATATCAAAACTTATATTCTTGTGCTATAATGGATAACTCTCCTTAGCTAGGAACACACATTTCATACACCAACAGTATTCCTTTTCAATAACAAAATAGCCACATTGTTGGAAAAAATATATATGTTTATTTATTATTAAGCATTTCATTACCCAGTAGATTTTGGACCAACCTTGGAGTTTGGAGACTATGGCTTGTTTATTTAATTCAACACAATACACACAAAAAAAAAGAAAAAACCCACAAAACCTTGTAAAATATTGTAGAAAGTTTTTTTCTTAAAAGCACATATTGTTTTACATAAGCATTTCACATGTCAGACATTTATTAAGCCAGAAAATATTTTCAACATTATCCTCAATGTACCAAATCAATCCTCCCATTTGCACTCTTTAGCATTGTCCAAACTACATAAAATAGTTTAAGACGTCTAGGGTATGATGGGAGTCTGAATTATGAATAAAAAAAGGACATGGGAGGTCTAAAAATGTACGATTGTATACAATAAATTGCTATAATGGAAAAGGTCTTTCAAATATGTTCAGAAAACATAATAAAACATAACAAGATACATCTACAAATATCTGACCTAAACATAAGGTTCAAACTAAAATGTTTGAAAATACTGATGTTTATGGAAAATAATCAGCCATGTGAGGTTTTCAGCTCCTATTGCAGAAAATGGCAATTATTGCAATGACCATACTACTCTGGTAAATGACCCCAGATTCACACTTGTGCAGCATACTTGTACACATGTACGGCATGCTTGCACACACATCGCAGGTACAGCAGACCAATTAATTTGAATGGGCTGCTGTGCCCACTAGGAATGCAGGGAAAGAAGTCCCCAACTCTATTTTTAAATTGTGCTGCACCAAGTCACATGGTGCTGATGCACCATGCAATTTGTTTGTGTGTGTGAATGAATGGCACTCCCCACGTCTACTAAAGAAAAGTGCATTTTACCTTCGGGTCAGGAATGTGCACAATTTTACAAGCATTCCCAACTTGCTCAAGTGTGAACCTAAGCTTAAGCCCATTTGGTATCATATTCATGAATTCCAGTATCAAAAATATAGGCTTGACAGATTAATATGATTTTAATTAGGGAAAAGTCCTGATTTTTTTTGTAAAAACGCTTCAGCGAATTCCTTGGATGGTTTAGACACATTGACAGACTAATGACATGTACTGTATCTATATGTAAGCTAGTAACGGGGTTGATTTACTATGGGAGTAGAGGTAGCTCACCTAGCAAATTCAATGTTTGCATTTTAAAGTGAATGTTAGCGAATAAGGTGAAGCTGTGTTCAGTTCAAGCAACCATCCATGCTAGTGTAGCACCCTCTAGTAAAGATTTTTTATTTGTGCATAGTTAGAGGCTTGCTAGAAGCCTGGGAGCATTAGATGTTATTGCAGGTCAGGGCTGGAGGGCTCTGCAGGTCAGTCCTCTGGTGCCTCCACCTGCTCTAGAAACTTGGAGACGTTTCTAGAAGCAAGTAAGCGGAGGTGTGATCTGCATATTTATGGAAGCCTGGCCAAACCCCAGGCAGGAGGCCTGGCATAGTGGCTAGGTCAGCCCTTAAATATGAGAGAGCCTGGCCAGAGTCGGGTGGAAGATGGATTGAGGAAGGTGCTGGTATAGAGCCTGGTAGGGGGCCCCAGAGAAGGGGGGTCTACTTACAGGCTGGGAGCTTGAAAAAGGGACCTCCGCTGTTCTACTGTCCACCAGGGAAAGACAGCCTGTCAGCAGGGGAAGAAGCAAGCCCAGCGTAAGGCCTGAAACCAGTTTCACCCTTAAAGCTACAGGAACAGGATAGTGTGAGCACTTCTACACCTCCTGAGCCTAAAAAGGAGAGTGCAGTCAGGTGCCATACCAAACTAGTTCTCCCTGGGACAGTATATTCATGCGTCTTGGCATCCCTTGCCCTGGGATACCTTTAATGACAGCCATATGAATGAGGAGATTTTAATCTGGGGTCTTCAGAGGTTCATCTAAGGGGACTGATTGCTCCTAGTAAGGACTATGTGCTGATCCGTTAAAGGCCCTTCCAGAGAGGGAGTAGAAAGTCCAGGATCTATAAGCAGGATCTATATGTATAAATACTGTATAATAATAATCTAATTTTCACTTTTTGTACATAAGTCTGTCTTCCAAGTTGTTTCAGTACCATTGGGCATCCCATATACCTTTAGACCCTATCCAAATTTTTTAACCCCTAATAAAAAACAAACTAAACCAAGCTTATGGACCGATCACGGATTTTGGATGCAAGAGTGGAAAATGTGTTGCCTGGCTGTGCAGGAAAATAGGGGGACTTAAGTGGCTCTTAAGATTGTAGTGCTACACTAGCAAAACCATTTTTATTTCATTTTCCCCACACATGGATGGGTTTTTAAAAAGTGAACACCTTATGCACTAGCATTCACTTTGCTAGATGAGTAGTGTGTACTCTTTCAGTAAATTAACTCCATTGTGTCAGTGTGCACGTGTTTTAGTTTTGTCTTGAATACACGTTAATGTTATGTTCCTATGACCCAACAGCTCTCACACTGCCAAATGTTGAGAACTGAGGTTTGAGTTTTTATTAAAATTACAAAAATACCTCTTTGCTGGCAAGTAGGGATAAGTGCTGATAATTTTATATGTGTATGGCTTCTTAGCAATACTCACATAAATGACAGAAAAGTAAAGTAGAATATGAAAGGACCCACTGCATATTGTTAAAAAAGGTAGTCAGAATAGCAGCTCAACAATTGTACACTAATGTGCATAAACATATATTAGAGTGTTTTTTTCTAGGTTTTATTCCATTTATTACTACAAGCCACTTTAATGAAGAATTGCATTTTCCCTATAAAAAGGTCTGTGCAATGTTCTTGTGACCTATAGTGATATGTATATGTTCAGGCTGTTGCTGATATTGATGCAGTCACTCCAGTTTGTGAGCCGGTTTGGGTGAGGAGCGACAAACCATATAGTCAGAGATGGCAGTAGGCAGGTAGGATACAGGGAGGTAGTATAGCTTGCAGTCCCAGCCAGGTGCGTATCTTGTCCAGGGGTGAACTGCGGTCAAGGCATGCTCCATACAGTCTGGCACTTGGTGGATCTTCGGGCTACCTGTGTCAAGCAGGGACAATAATCCCTTGGCATCTGTATAAAGAAAAAAATATATATACTGCTGTTTTGTAGTACAAAAATAAGTTCAAATTTAGATTATTCATTACATAATACAGATCGTAGTGTTTAATAGCCCAAGGAAAACAATCAAAAAGCAGTTGTATTGAAAAACTGATTTCGGCTATGAGTGACTGTGCCTCTTTGGGCCAAGATAATAAGTAAATTTAAGAGGCTGTAGTGAGTGTAGATAAAGTGTGACTCAGTCCCAGATATAGTTACAAGGAAAAAACATAAATCAGATAAAGGTCTGAAAGCCTGTCAAAGAAGGTGGATTGTGACTAGAGAACAACCATCCAGCAATGACTGTGCTGGCCAGGAGCTGTGAAAAGGAACTGATCAGCCCACTTGGGGCATACAGCAGGAGGTGCAGATGGAAACTATCAGAGAATATGCACTATAGACAAAACAGCAAAAAATTAGAAAAAGAAATACTGATAGGAATATAAGTGAATAGTGTAAGATGTGAGCATAAACAGTATGCCCAGAAACATCAGGACATACAAGCAAGGGGTCAACAATAAAAAATTTAAATTCTTTAAATTGAAGGGGGCAGCTGGAATTATCCAGTGACTAGTGAATAAAGTGTAAGTAGGACACAGTGTGTCCCTGATCCTATGCAAGACAGGGCTGATCACTTACATTTGGAATCTTTTGGCTAGGCTCTGGGGAAGCCATCAATGGCCTACAGGTATGACATTTAAACTAAAAAAAAAAAAAAAAAAACAAAACAAAAACAAAACACAAAACAAAACAAAACAAAACAAAACAAAAAAAAAAACACAAAACAAAACAAAACAAAACAAAAAAAAAAAAACAAAACAAAACAAAACAAAACAAAAAAAAAAAAAACAAAACAAAACAAAACAAAACAAAACAAAAAAAAAAAAAAAAAAAAAAACTTATTTTGAATGATGGACAGCGTTTTTAAAATTACTGGTTCCCCTTAACTGCATGGAAAGGGCCAATCAAGCTTGAAGGGATTCCCTATCTTTATTTGTCCTTGTGACCATCATTAGTGGGACCAGAAGTGATGGGAATTAAAAAAAAAACAAATCACCTGACAGGAAGTTCTAGCCTATCCCACTCTAAGAAAACCTGTTGTCCAATTGTCATGCTGATTCTTCTGCTTCTCTATGTATACAAACAATTTTGCAGATAAGGACATGGACTCTTTTCTGACTTTCTGCACGATCTGCACATTAGCTCTAAGTCAATGGATCAGAAAGTCAATGGATCAGAAAGTATTGATGCCAGTGAGTCTTCATAACATTGCAACTAGCATTTCAAGAATGAGATTAGCAATGATTGTCTTTAAGCCTCCCTTTTGACAAATATATCCAAGGGTCCGATCTGGGGGAGATTGACTTCTAATACTGGCGGGGGGGGAGACGGCAAAGACATTCAAAGATATTTTGCCGTCAGGCTGTCCGCAGCAAAATATCATCAGGTCTGGAACCAAGATGGAGGAGACAGCAGGAGGAGAACCGTGCACTGCTGGGAGGAGCAAGGGGATTTTAGGTTTAGACTGTTATTCATCATCTGATGAGGAAAGCTAACGTTTGGGGCTCCTTTATTTATATTTTTCAATATCAAAACCACCTGTAGCCCGGGTTCACATACATGTCTCTTCCTCCCATGTTCATCGCCAGGACTTCTCCAGGGCTTCCTCCATCCTCTGGAACTCCCTACCCCAATCCATCAGACTATCACCCACTCTGCTCACCTTTAGGCGCACTCTGAAAACCTCTCTTTAGGGAGGCCTACCCCGCCCTCAGCTAACACTGAAATCCTCTACTCTTCCAACCATTCAATCCCCCACAGTTATTACCTCTTGTACCACTATCCCCTCCCTCCTAGATTGTAAGCTCCAAGGAGCAGGGCCCTCCTATCCCTCTTGTATTGAACTGTATTGTCTCGTGTATTGTCTCCCACCATAAAGTAAAGTGCTGAGCAAACTGTCAGCACTAAATCCTGAATAAAATCCTGTAATAATAATAATAATAATAATAATAATAATAAAAGGTCCAGTTCCAACTAAACATGTTTGACTTCTGCTAATCTTGAGGTTTCAGATAGAGTAGAGTTTCTGCTGAAACTTTGTGCATTAGTACTGCTTGGACCTTGAAGGGGGTACACCCCAAAAGCTTATCCTGAAAAAGTGTGTGTTAGTGCAAAGTATCACGGACAGTACTCAATTGTTTCTGTTGCAAGTGCACCAATATGGCTAAAATAAACTAAAGCAAAATGGAAGATACTGCGTACAGCTCCACGAAGAAGCAGTTAACCAACCTAATCACAAAAGGAAACAGATCAACAGTGACATCCATCTCTCAAGATGTAAAAGAGGAATCTCATACCACAAGGTCTGCTGATTAAAAATCCTTGTGCATATACACTGCACTCTTCTTATGCAGAAGGACTTTGCAGATGTACCAGTGAAAGATTAAGGAACAATCTCATTCACAAACTGTATGGTAAAAGGGTAAAAAAAAAAAAAAAAAAAAAAAAAAAAAAAAAAAATCAGGAACACAAGCAGTCGATGTTTAAAATCCTAACATCATTGGACCCCATCAGCATTAACCAAATTAAGAATGAAATGGAAACTTTACAAAGACAACTGAAAACTTGCCCTGAATAAAGAAAAAACCTCCAAAAGCAGCGCCAAGAGCAGACTTTTTGGAAACCCAAACATAGAAATACTCTGAGCCCTAATGTCCTGAAGAATTTCACTATATCTGATAATAATTGGAACACCACATCTAGGACGGCCTGTTACCAGTGATCTGGAATCCAATCCAGAATCCTAAGGAATGTATTGTGTAAATGCCAACCTGACTGAAATGTGGTTATAAATAGAGGAACTAGGAATCAAACTATAAACTTTCAGAACCTGAAATAACAGTCCTCTCAAAAGGCCTCAGATTCTGCCCAACCACCAAACTGGATAATTTGCAATTGTCAGATAGAGAGAAATTCTTCAGCAGATTAAGGCTCAGAGCATTTTCATAGTAATGAAAGGAATCCGATGACAATGAAATGCAACAAAAAGAAAAAAAAAAAAAAAAAAAAAACAAAAAAAAAAAACTTTACACCTCCATAAGACCGTAACTCCAAACTGGACACTATTGACAGCTTCAGACAGATATATCCCTGAAATCCACCCAGCAAAAGAAAATATAATGCAATCTTTCACCACTGGAGAAAAGAGCTATATATGATTTCCGCAGTAATCAGGCTATCACTATCAAACCAGCAGATAAAGGGGAGCAGTTGTTGTGATGGATACAAATACATATAAGAGGGCCAGAGACAGCTGGCAAATGCTACTTACTATAAAAACTGGATTATGATCTGACCCAGGATTTTACTAAGCAATTAAAAAGGTCTCATTAAAACACTACCAACCCACCTGCATTCAGAGCTTATCAGTGTGATATCAGATAATCCAGGAATTGGGAATTTCTACATATACTTCCCAAAATCCACAAGCCAGGAAATCCAGGCAGACCCATCATAATAGGTATGAACACACTTACCAAACAAATCTCAGACCTTGTAGAAATTTTTTTAAAACCCATTAGTCATGAATGTTGCTAGTTTCCTGCAAGATACAACTGATTTTCTGAACAAAAACCATATACAACTGTAGCAACCTCCTAGGTAGCTAGGGGGAGCTCTAACTTCAACTCAGAGTAGCAGCCTGGGTGTGATGAGCCAGGTGGGTAAAATTTAGGTCAGAGCTGAGAGGCTCTGCAGACCAGCTCTCTGGAATTTCCCCGTTCTAGGACTTTAGAGAAAGATCTAGAAGCAGAGGGCGGAAGTGAGGAGTGACTGGTCTGTACTCAGAGGATCCTGGCCAATCCCCAACAGGAGGCTTGGCAAGGGGACAGGATAGCCTATAAGAGTAACTGAGCCTGCTCAGCAGGAGAGGAAAGTCAGAGGGGAGAGCTGAAGGAGAGTTCAAGTGGAAGAGGAGGATGTGAAGCTGAAGAGCAGGAGCCTGGGAGGGGGCCTAGATGGGAGAGGGGCTCACATCCAGGAAGAATGACCTTGGAAGGAGAAAAGGTTGAGACTTCACCAGCCCCCTGAGAGAGGACCAACTGTGAGGCAGGGATGAAGCGGGCCAGCTAGAAGGCCTGATAACAGCCATTGATCTACTGGCAACTTAGGAGAAGGACCAAGTGAGTAGACCTGCACCCCTTGGGCCAGATAGGGGAAGGAGCACTCTGGTGGGAAAGCAGATTAGCAACTACACAAGACTGTCTTACTTTAACGTGGCAGGCACTAGATCTCCTGCTCAGGGATTTCCCTCAGCTGGATGAGAAGATTCATCTGGGGTCTCGGGTGTCAAAAGCAGAGTTGCTGGCTAGCTCTCCAAAAGAGACAGTTTTGTTGTAAAGACTTGTATTATAGTTCCAGGAAGCTGTCCTCAGTTTCTCAGTTCTATTGGGCATCCTGTACACCCCTTACCCTATCCAAGTTCAATTCCCCTAATAAAACTTCAACAAGCTCAAGGACTGGTTACTGCCTTCTGGATGTAAGTTGATGTAAAAATGCATGTTGCCTGGCTATGCAGGACTATGGAGGGACCCAGATCTCCTGAGGTGGTAGTGCTACATAAAACAATTACCAAATACACTTCTAGTCACTGGATATAGAATCTTTGTATACAGTAGTAACATCCCTCACAATGATGGATTGGCTGCATGTCAGATTCTTATCCTCACCAAAACAAATATAGCTCAGAGGATGTTACACAGCTCATTGAAGATGGATCTCATTATTGAAAGTGAAGTAGTTGTGTGTAAGAATGAATTCAATGTATGGAAACTGCTATGGGAAGTAAAATTGCATCCCAGTATTCAAATTTATTTATGACTGACCAGGAAAATAAAATTCCCGAACAGCACAAACGCCTTACAGATACTATCGCTAGATCAATGATATTTTCATCATAAGGACAGAAGGAGAAGAAAATCTAAAACCATTTTACTTAACTTTCACCCAAACTAAAAATGGACTATTTCAACACATGTCAACTTCCTAGACACCACAGTATACAGAGATGACTAGATGCACACCTCAATATACAAGAAACTGACAGATGTAACTATCTCCTTAGTTCCAGTTTTAGTACTGCTTGGACCTTGAAGGGGGTACACCCCAAAAGGTTGTCCTGAAAAATTGTATGTTACTGCAAGTATAAAAAAAAAAAAGGTATCACAGACAGTACAGTTGATTCTGTCAGCTAGAATGGCAAATTTCTCCCTAGCTCTATCTGTTTCATTTGTATTCTTTTTGTAGGCGAAGTACATTTCCTGCGAGTACAGAAATCAAGTGTCCTTGTAACTTCCTGTGCACTGAACTGAAATCCTAAATCATATTACCTGGCTAGTTCTCAGTGTGAACTACAGAACACTATGGCTATGTTATGGAGGGGAGATGTGCTTGTAATTCAAGTGGGTGACCTAAGCTGACAAGGCTACTCTTCCAATAGATACAATACAATGTGTGTTAGCAGAATCACCAGGTAAAAAAGGAAAAAAGCCGGAAGAGGAGAAAAGTAATGTTGCTATACAGCCTAAAGACTGGTAAACTGTAATACATCTTAACTCTTTAGCACCCCTTTCACATGGGAGGTGTTCCATTTAGATCAGCAGGGTATCTAACCACTAATCCCCTGCAGAGCGAGCGGATGACAGGTCCATGTCCACTCAGTTTATGCCAGTCACTAAATGGCAGACTGCGGTCCACGAACGGCCCCAGCAGTGCCGCCCGGATCACCAGCCCTCAATGACAGATCCACTGCTGAGCAGGGTGGTCATCATGGAAACATGACATCACGTGTGCGCTCTGCCCCTTTCAGCTCACTGTCTCTCCGGCTGCTGCTCCCTGCCTGTACACAAGTATCCAGCAAGGATCTTGGCACTGCTCCTATCTGCTCTCACGGTAGTGTGTAGTCTTACCGCTGCACTCTGATGGGCACATTGAATGTTAAGGGGCACTCTGATGGGCACAACATAGAATGTGCCCATCAGAGTGCCCCTTAATATAACATGTGCCAAACAGGGGCGGACTGACAACTCATGGGGCCCCCGAGCAATAGAGGATCATGGGGCCCGTGTCTTTGTCCAAACTCAAAAAAGCCTATAAAAAAAAAAAAAAAAAAAAAAAAAAAAAAAATTATAGGGGATCATGGGGCCCCTATGTCCTCGCCCAAACAAAAAAGCCTATGAAAAAGGAACCAGGGGCATCTCATGGGGCCCCCTACTGACCCCAGGCCCTCGGGCAGTGCCCGAGTTTCCAAATGGGCAGTCCGCCCCTGGTGCCAAACAGAGTGCCCCTTAACATAATATAAAATGGCACGCTTATTAGCGTGCCTCTTATTTTAAGGGTCACTCTGATGGGCACATCTTATGTTAAGGGGCACTCTGATGTTAATGGACACAAGTCAGTTTACACTCACCAGTCTATAGGGATACATGGACCATCCTATTAGATCCACCTATAAAACAGACAGGTGGATCTGATTGGATCACGCGTGTGAAAAGGGCCAGACTCTTGTTTCTAGTAGAGGTTAGTAGAAGTGTCACTCACATTGATGGTAATACTGTTCTCCAAACAATTCTTTGATGTTTTCAGGGAGATTATTCCATAGGTGCTCCATGTTTTTCCTATGACGATCTTTCTCAATTATTAATGTCTTATAGGTTCCAGGTTCTATTATGCAGACTTTGACTCCAAAATCACGAAGCTCCCTTCTGCAGATATAAGCAACCAGAAACAAATCAAAACCGTACAGTACATCATTAAACCACCAATAAATAGATATCACAGTGCAAAACTCATACACCTATGTAACAGTAAGACCAAAAGGCTATGGCTCCATGCACACTGTGCATTTTAACTTTACACAGCTAACGCTACCAGCATTGTTAAAAGCGAAAGTTTTTCAGTAGTTTAGCATTTTTGCATAAGCGTTTTGCCACGTTTAGCAGTGTTTTTCTGCATTTAAGAAAAAAAAAAAAAAAAAAAACATTTTTGCTCAACAAATGCCCCGAAATGCCAGTTTTCCATGTTTTACAGCGTTAGAGCATTTTTACAGCTAAAAAAACTCCTAGAAACCCACTAGTTCTAGGTTTTTTTCCAGCCAAAAAACACCATGCAAAAAAAAACACAAACACTGATTAAAGCCTATGTATGCATGGACACATAGGATAACATGCTGGGGAGTTTACTGGCTGTAGAAATAAAATCCAAAAGCCAAAAACAGCAGCTGTAAAAATGTCCAGTCTGCATGAGGACTAAGGGTAAATTGTGGATTGAGAAGAAAAAAAAAAAAAAAAAAAAAAAAAAAAAAAAAAAAAAAAAAAAAAAAGGGAGCGGAATTGGATGGGAGGGGGTGGAATTGGGGGACAGGAGGTCAGAGTTCCAAGGGGATCCATATATCAGATATGAGTGGCTTAATATTTAGAGGGGGTATACAGTTAGGGTCATATATATTTGGACACAGGCACAATTTTCTTTTCAGGTATTTACGAAGACATAAGTTATATAATAGATATGGGCTGAAAGTGCACACTCAGATTTAATTTGAGGGTATTTACATCCAAATTTGAGGAAGGGTTTAGGAATTACAGCTCTTAAGGAGTAGCCATTCCCCTTTTTCAAGGACCAAAAGTAATTGGACAATTGAATCAAAAGCTGTTTCATGGCCAGGTGCTAGTTTGATTCTAAGTGTGGTATTTGCATTTGGAATCTATTGCTTTGAACCTACATCATGCGTTCAAAGGAGTTGTTCATGCAAGTGAAACAAGCCATTGTAAGGCTGCAAAAAAAAAAAAAATATATCCATCAGAGAGATAGCAGCAACATTAGGAGTGGCCAAATCAACAGTTTGGTACTTTGAGGAAAGAATGCACTAGTGAGCTCAGCAACATAAAGGCATGGATGTCCACGGAAGAAAACCGTTGTGGATGATCGCAGGATCCTCTCTATGGTAAAGAAAAGCCCATTCACAACATCCAGACACGTGAAGGACACTCTCCAGGAGGTGGGTGTATCATTGTCAAAGTCTACAATCCAGAGAAGACTTCCCGAGAGCAAATACAGAGTTCACCACAAGGTGCAAACCATTCATAAGCCTGAAGCAAATTTTTTGCTCTTTTTTTTGTTTATACTGCAAAAAATAAAAACCTCAGTGGCGATAAAATACCAAAAGAAAGCTCTATTTGTGAGAAAAAAAAAATATAGAAAAAAAATATAGTATGGGTACAGTGTTCCATGACAGTGCAATTGTCAAAGTGCAAGAGCACTGAAAGCCGAAAAATTGGACTGGGCATGAAGGGGGTGAAAGTGCCTGATAGGTAAGCGGTTAAAACAATCCACTGAACTAACCAGAACCAACTCTTGAGGGAGTCTATTCCACATTTTCACAACTCTTACTGTGAAGAAACCTGTGCTTGGAGATTAAATTTCTTTTCCTCCAGACGTAAAGAGTGCCCCCTTGTCCTCCGATGACCTCAAGGTGAATAGCTCTACACAGAGTTAACTATATGAACCAATAATGTATTTATACATGTTGATCATATCCCCCATTAATCTCCTCTTGAGAGAATGAATTCAGTTCCTCTAAATCTTTCCTCATAGCCGAGCTCCTCCATGCCTATCAGTTTGGTTGCCCTTCTCTGTACTCTCGAGAACCCCAATGTTCTTTTTGTGAATTGGTGACGAAAATTGAACTACATATTCCAGATGAGGTCTTACTAATGATTTGTACAGGGGCAATATGATATCTCTCTGGAGTCTATACCTCTTAATACAAGGGAGGATTTTGCTCGCTTTAGAAACCGCAGCTTAGCATTGCATGCCATTATTAAGCTGGTGATCTACCAGGACTCCCAGATCCTTCTCGACCATTGATTCCCCCAGTTGTACTCCCCCTAGTATGTATGATGCATGCATATTCTTAGCCCCAAGTGCAGAACCTTACATTTATCAACATTAAAGCTCATTGGACACATAGTTCCCCAATTAAACAGTGCATTGAGGTCAGCTTTGCAGTTGGAGACATCCTATAAGGACGTTATTCCACTGCACAGCTTGGTGTCATCTGCAAAGACTGAAATGGTATTTTTAATCACAGACCCTATATGGTTTACAAATATATTAAAAAGTAAGGGTCCCAACACTGAACCTTGGGGTACACCACTAACAACCCTAGACCATGCAGAGTATGAATCATTAACTACTACTCTCTGAATACAATCTTTTAGCCAGTTTTCTATCTATTTACATACAGATTTTTACAAGCCCATAGACTTTACCTTACATGTTAGCCATGTGTAGGGAACTGTGTCAAACGCTTTTGCAAAATCCAAGTATACCACGTCCACCGCCACCCCTCTGTCCAAGGTTTTGCTCACCTCCTCATAAATAAATCAGATTTGTTTGACAACTTCTGTCTTTCATGAATTCATGCTGTCTGTTGCTTAAAATATTTTTTTTTTCCCCAGCAAGAACTCATCTATGTGGCCTTTTATTAAACTCTCCAGTATGTTCCTAACTATAGAAGTTAAACAGGTCTTTAATTACTTGGTAAAGATTTTGACCCCTTTTTAAATATTGGCACCACATTGCCCTTACACCAATCCAGTGGTACTATGCCAGTCATTAAAGATTCCCTAGAAACAATGGCTTTGAAATGACAGAGCTCAATTCTTTAAGCAGGCCTTGAAATTTCCACTTGTCTGCTCACCAATGGTGACTGGAAATTATGGTGGGGGCAAGTGTGTTCCCCAGGGCCGTCTTGCTGAGCAGGCTCGGAGCTCAGGCCGGATCTGTCAGTGGCACTGGGAGCCGTCAGACTGCTCAATAGCTGAGCGCAGTGAAAGCAAAGGAAGGAGTGTGTGCTGTGCTCTCTGCCTCCCCCTAGAGTGCAGTACCCGGCTCTGAGTGAACAACAAAGTACTGCAACTTTTTATAGTGCTGTGTGTACCTAATTTCAGCTCACTCTTGTCACATGATCCTCTATGTCAGCCAGTGGTGGCTTCAGGGGAGAGGAGAGAGCACTTAGTGTGCGTGTGACGTGTGTGTTTGTACGTACGTACACGTGTCTGTATGTACGTACACGTTTCTGTGCATGTACATGTATCTGTGTGTATGCCTGTCTGTACGTGCCTGTGTGTATACAGGTGTCTGAGTGTATTTGTTGGTGGCAAGTAACTCTTAAGACCTGGCTAGTAGCTCAGGACTTAATTTTAAGCCCTGCTTTAAGGACCCATGGGTGTATGCCATCTGGTCCAGGTGCTTTATTCACCTTTATTCTTTTTAAAATATTTCTGGATCATATCAATTGTGAGCCAATGTGGATCATCTGGAGCTGTGTCAATGCCATGCCCATTATGGACTAGAGCTCCCCCATGCTCCTTTGTATATACAGAGCTGAAGAAGGTATTTAATAAATTTGCCTTCTCTTTGTCCCCAGTCACCCACTCTAGATTATTTTGTAAAGGGCCTACTTGCTTGGTCTTTATTATTAATATATTTGAAGAATTTTTGGGGGTTTGTCCTGCTATCTCTTGCAATCTGTCGCTCGTTTTTAATTTTTTGCGGCCTTTATTTCCTTTTAGCATATTCTGTTATATTCTAATGTTTAAACAATGATAGTGTTCCTTCATATTTATATTTAATAAAAGCTTATATATAGTTTTTTTTAACTTTGGTCGTAAGCCACATAGGTTTGATTTTTAGCCTTTTAAACTTATTGCCCATGGGAATATATTTTGCAGTGTGTTCACATACAGTCTTTGAAGAACTCCCATTTCTGTTGTGTTCATCGATGCCAATATTCCCTCCCAGTCTAAGTCTTGGAGAGCAGCTTTCAGCCTTGGAAAATGAGCTCTTAAAATTGAGCATTTTTATTTTTCCCGCATGCGCTTAACGTTTATAGCCAACATAAAATGAAATCTTATGGTCACAGCTACCCAGATGTTTTTATATGAACATTCGTAATAAGCTCTGCATTGTTTGAGATTACCAGGTTCAGCAGAGCATCATTCCTAGTTGGCGCCTCTTTGAACTATACCATAAAATTGTCCTGTAGTAGGTTTATAAATTTTTTCCCTTTAATGGTTCCTGCAGTACCATTACTCCAGTCAATTACCAGGTAGTTAAAATCCCCCATTATCACTGTCCCAGCCTTTTCAATCTGTGCAAGGAGCAGAGTCTCCACCGCCTCATTAACACTGGGAGGCCTATAGCAAACTCCAAACAAATTGTGAATACACTAAGGAAAAACTACATTTTTCCCCAAGTGTTTAGAGGACTGAGTAACTGAGTTAGAATCGAATGCTGGTGTTAAGCCTAGTAAATGCAAATCGTACGAAAAATGCCACTTTCGAAGCAATAGTACGATAATCTGATTGTTAGTAGTCAGCTTTCGTCCGAGAAATTTTTGTGCTTGTCCCTCTTTGAAAAATTTTGTATGATCCCAGATCATATGAGTTTTGTTTAAATCAGTAAAATTTTCTTTTGAAAATACAATACAAATACATTTTTGTATTTTTTATATATACAGCTGCTCTCCAAGACTTAGACTGGGAGGGAATATTGACATTGATTAACAACACAGAAATGGGAGTTCAAAAAGACTATGAAAAAACTGCAAAATATATTCCTATGGAGCAACAAGTTTAAAAGGTTAATATATTATAATACATTACATGACTTTCAAATTTTTATTCTGTCATACAACACTTTTCATAACTTTAGTAACCTCTTTACTTTTGATATAAGACTAGCATGCAAAAAAAATGGATGATCATTCGTCCCATATTCTCATCTAATGTATGGGGCCTTAGCACTTAAAATCAATTGGGAGAAACCAATGCTTATGCTACTTATTCTAAGTAATGTCCGGATTGTTCAATGGTATGTATAACCAAAATAAGGAGGGACGTGTGTCTTAGATATACAAGACTAATAACAGAACACATAGATCTATATTCTCATATTCTAAACGCAGTTTTATTCCTTTTAGTCATCCAGTTGTGATTGATAACAAGGGCTTCTTTGGCTTATGGCAAAAAAGAGTGGGGATAAAAGACATTCCTGGCTCATGCCCCTGACCAATGGGAAAGATTGAGACATTACCACATTATTTCTTAAATTATACCTAGGGGGGAGGAGTAAATAATTGCAACCTTTTTTTAAAATCTCGGTATCACAGATCCAAGCAGCACACGTATGCCCACAGCAACTAGCTAACTGAGGTATGCACGTCCGGCCGTGAATTGGGGTAAAAAGGGAATGAGGGGGACTTACTTTGAACATATAAGACTGGACGTGATACACTTTCACAGCCCGCTCTGCCTCTGGCCACCACTAGAGGGAGATCCACTCCAATCCTGCTGGCTGACCACACACAGGCAGATAGGAATCTTATATACAATCTGGTGCACTCTAAGGGTTGGGGAGCAGTCTAGCAATTGGCACACCCTTCTAGGATTCCTCCAGCTATCCTACAAGCTAGAACCCAGGTGTAAATCCCTCTTCCACTGTCCACACGCTCCCACACCAGACACAACAAATGGTAGCTTGCCACCACCCAGTTTGTCCGCAAACTGGTCTGCTGGGCCACCACAAACACACAGATCTCCGTCTGGCAGATCTGCTACTTTACAATCTGCATGCAATCTGCCAACACACAATGCAATTGCATACAGATTGGCAATGAACTTAGACCAAGCATATATAGACACTGCAATACAATCTCTCCAGAGATATGAGCCTGAGCTTAAGTACCCAGAAGTCACTTATTAATTTTATGATTTAATATCCCGAAAGTGGGCAGTGCATAAAATATGTACAAAGTATAAAGAGTTACAGAAAAGACAGACACACAATTGGCTATTCACTATAAAATAAAAGGGAATAAAAACAGAAATAAAACTTTTACCAAGAGTTATCCTGAAACTGGAGCAAGTCAGAGAAAGTTAGCAATTCACCAGTCAAATAGAAATGGCTCAGTATGAATCACCCCATTCATATGTCAGGGTCCTCAATTTATTGAAATATGGATGTGGGCTGGACATTAACCCTTGGCCAATCAACCCTGGGGGGTGTTCCTGTACCAGCCCACAGGACGTTCTAGGCTCTGAAGTGCCCAAAGTCAATAGGACCAGGAACGGTTTGAATCACCAAGTCAGGAATAGAATTTTCGACACCAGCGCATCAGTCCAATCGCGACAGTACCAATCAGTGTTCAGCTGTTGCAATCAGGCACCATATAACCATTTTCTGCATTTCTCTGGGATTCTACAAATCCAGTTTTACATGTAGATGTAGCCTACAGTGTGTCCAATCAGAAGGAAGTATTTTCATCTCTATTTTTGCTTTTATGAGAGATGAAATAGATTCCTCTGATCTGTGGATATAAATCAGAGCTGGCAGACAAATCGGAGCCACTCCTGGTCTCCTGCCGCTTCCCGAAGCCGAAAAGGCCAACTAGACTTTTAGATTTCAAGAAGGTGGCAAACTCTGGCTACATAGGTGACATTTTATTGGCATCTAGGTGTCACCTCCAGCCTAGAAGCTGCTCTGTCCTTTCAGATGCTAATTGGTGCACATATGTCTCTGACTGAATACTGAACACATATGTAATAACACGGAATTAAACTAGATATACAATGACATTTCTACTGATCACACCACATCTCAGCTACCCGAATCCTACATTTATGTTACACTTGGACCAAAGCGACCAAGCAGGCCATCAAAAATGGTCATTCAATAGAATCAAATAAAAACATGAGAGGCTCTAACCTCTCACCACCCTATCAAAACCAATTTTTGGATGGTTTTAGGAATGCTTTGACTGTCTTCTGAGCCCAATGAGTTATTTGTAGTGCAGTACTGTTGGATTACCTTAGACTGTCGGAAAATGCTTCTGTAGCATATTTTGATGGGCAGTATCCTCCTCCAACTATGGCAATTCTTCCTGCAGCACTAGAGACATTGACGATTCGCCCCCTTGCCTTTATGACAAGAGGTGCCATGTTCAGCGTCACATCAACCATTCCCAGTAAATTTATATTCAACACTTTAACAAAATCATCCTTTGTGTGCCATAAATTAGGAGTAAGTCCAGATCCAATACCAGCATTGTTTACTAGACCCCAGAGCCCTGTAAAATAAAGAACACATTGAATTAAACAGACAATTATTTTGAACTGTAGCAAATTATCCATGAATGTTCCAACATTTAAAGGTGCCTGGATAAAAAAAGCCTAAAAACTAGGAAGATAAACCTCAGTTTTTGTGCATATCCCTTAGTCACAAGGTATAGCATAGGGAAATAAAAGCTCAGTTCTTACCCAAAGAGGACTTCAGGAACGGGAAGTTTGGTGTGATTGCCATCTGGCTAAATGCTGGTTTTAGGGCTCAACCTTTGTCACTGTTGTGGATAAAGGACTGTGGCTGTCACATTTTCTGACAAGACAGGCTGGAAAGCCCGATCTATATTGGCCATTGTTTATGAACAATGGCTACAGAAGGGGCCTAAGGGCCCATCTGAAAGCAAGCATCTAAGAGGCCAGGTCAGGGAATATTAGCAGTTTATTAAACCCCATTTGCGAGGAGAACCTAAGTTTGTCTATGAGTAGAGCTTTTTCCACATAATAATGGAGTCTCACGATGACATCTCTTGGGCTTTCTCCCAGTTCTCCACAGGAAAGCAGGTCTTTATGTACACTATCAAATCTCCAAGGAGTGTGAGGTCAGTGACTTTCCAAAAGGATATGAATTATCCTCATGTCTGCCAGATCTGCTTGGATGGTTTTAGGCAGCCCATGGATGGTGTTGTGCCTGTTGGCTGGTGCAGTTAGCTTGCCAGCCATTAGGTGGATCTTTTCCCAGTATACTATGATAAGTGAAGAGTTGTAAATAAGTGTTTGCTCCTTTTTAGTGAAATCCCTCCTCTAGTGTGGTACAGTGGGGTTAGCGCCCACATAAATGCCAGTGGTGGGTGGAGCCCAGACAAAAGGGGGAATGGCAGCCAAACCCCCCCCAGAGCTGTCAAGATGTAATCTACAGCAATATGGACCTAAAGGGCCCTTTGCAGGGGTAAGGTCCCAGGCGAGGTAGTACGGAACAAGGGAAGAGTAGCTGTAGTTGCCCTGTCTTCCCTGACGTTTTTCTGTGGGTTCTGCAGTGGGGTGCTTATAGCCTGGGAGGCCTGGACGGTGTCTTATGTGAATAATGGTGGAACTTTTGGAATAAGTGTGTCTTCTGGGAGCATGCCTGGCTGGGCAGAGCTGTAGAAGGGACAGTAAGAGTTTGGTTTATTAAATGGGGTACGTTGGTCCCCTCCGAGGAGGTGATGGAAGCTTAATGCTGTGACTTCAGTAAACTGCACAAAAATGCTTTACGGTGTGGACATTCTAAAATATTTGGGCCTCGGGCCAGGGATGTTGCGAGCAATCCTATGGCCAGGAGTATGACACAATATACAAGAGTTCTTAACATGTGGGTGGCTGTCCTATCCAAAAAGAAGTGGGCAGGTACTTTCACATTTTGGCGCCAACACCTGCCCAATCCTACTCCCCCTTACATGCCCATTTCTATTCTCTTGATCCTCGATCTTAGAGGGCTTAATTTAGTTATTATTTATTCATTTATTTTTTATTATTTAATCATTGCATTTGAGCAGAAAAGCATTCAAAACCGTGTGACAATACACTGGAAAAAAAGTGATTTTCAATGCATTTCTATGGGGGAAATACTTAAGAAAAATGCACCAGTCTGCCCAAATAAATCTGCAAAAGAAGCTCAAAAATGTTTTGGAGCTTTAGGCATGCAGGATTGGTTGCTTGTTCTTAACAATTGCACCATTTTATGGGTGGGGCCTACCATGCCCATGCACTAGGGGAACCTTTGCCAGAGGGATGCTCACCATTGCCTGGGACCAGGCAGGAACTGTGGTCATGTGTACAGTCTAACATTAAGGCAGTCTCCCAACGTAAAGGTGAACTGGCACTGCATGTAGAATAAAGCAGAGTTCCTGAAAGTCTTGTCCCAAAGCTCTGCACACAGTGTATCATGTGTTGCATTTAGAATGGCAGGTAGAGTTACATCACTTTCACCAGCCAGAGTATCTGTTACCTCACTCCCAGTAACAGAATGGTATCCCACAGACAGTGCAGATCCCATGCGTGTCCTATGTTAACGCTTCATCTTCCTGTTAGGTTCAGGGCCTATGTAACGCTGGTCTGCTCCCAGTTACTATGGGAGATAGACCATTAGGGAGGGAGCCCAAATAGCGACTCCCTCTCTACTGGAAGACACCTCACCTTATACCCAGGTACTACACCTCAACTGGTTGCTTGGTGTCTTGAATGTTACTACATTACCCTTGACAATGACTTTGTTCTTCTTTAACATACTGACTTGACACTATAGATTCTTTATACCCCTCGAATGCTATTACAGGCCCATGTTCTTTTAATACACCAGCCCCATAATGCACCCCTTTGTGAATAATTTCAGACCAGGCTCAAGGAAAACACTTTTACAGTCTTTACTGACCACTTTAGTGCAAACATGACAAAAATTGCAACATTTCCTTCCCTAGCCCTAACTATTAGTTGGCCAAGCATACCTTATAGGTGACAGTTCATTGAGACAGTCCATTGATGGTGGCTTGGTGGCATAGTTCATAGATGGTAGCATCCTGGGGTCCTCACTACAAAGGAAGGATGGCTAGGACTTCTCTTGGAGATGGGAAGAGCACAGTATGGGAACTCTCAGAGGACTGTGTGGGCAAACGAGCCCTCAGACCTCAACCTTCGTCCAATTTATATCACAGGCTGGGCTGGCTGACACTCCAAAAAATAGTCTACACTCAGAGCAGATATTAACCCCTTCCCAACCTAGTCTGGGCCAGTTCCTAAACGTTTCAACCTGCTTACAGAAGATTTTATGGAGTTTCTCTATTCACTATAGAGAATAATTGAGGTGTTCTCCTCCAGCATCCTCGAGCTTTGAGCTATAAAAATGCTCAGGTGTGAATGCAGCCTAAAAACATTCCTTTCTCCACCCCAACAGCCAATTAGAGAAAAATAATCAGAGCAATTCCAGACATAGCTAAAATAGGTGTACTATAATCACTAACCTGCATCTCCAACAATTTCAGCAGCCCACTTTGCAGCAGATTTCACACTTTTGCTGTCAGCAACATCCATAATTATAGTATGTAGTCTGCTAGAAGTCTCCCCTTTCAGATTTTCAGCCCCTTGTGGAGTCAGGCATGCTGCCAAAACTTTCATGCCTCGTTTGTCTAGACGCTTCGCTAGTAGGTTCCCAAATCCAGTGTCACATCCAGTGATAAGTACATATTTATCTGTAAGGTTTTCCAGTATTTGACTTTGTCGGTGCCATCTGTACAGAAGGACCAAACCCAATACTACCAGCAGAGGGAGCCACAGGCACATGACAAAGTGTGAAAGTTTCTGTAATGCAAAAATACAGAAAGTTATTCGGGTAATATTTGTTAATGGCTTTAATTCTATCACAGGTAGATAAAGAAGATTTAGTTTGCTAAAGCACTGTGTATCTTAACCAATTGCCATTCTGTTTATATAAAATATTTGTTTTCACCTTTTTTTCCTCAATGTCAGTGCAGATAACCTGCAGCCTTTTTGCAGCAACGTCCTGTCCACATGCTTGCATTCCAGTAATAATTGTATGTCATTTCTCAGGGCGAGTTTCTGAATGGTGACAACAGTGGATGCTGCTTGTGAACTATGTATTGAAATGGCTACTACATGTGTGACAGGTGACAACGCTGCAGAACTATAGAGATAAGGAGAGTACAGAAGAGGGATTGCCGGAGCAAACACCTTCCTAGCAGGATGACCAGTAGTTAATTTAATGAAGCGCCAGATTTCTGAATATTGAAAATTATTTTTGAAATTACATTGTTTTAAAGTTTACATGAGATTTTAGTGTTTACATATACTTTATCTTATATAAAGACAGTTTACAGTAATAAAAAAAATCTTTGTCTTAGAGATTCCATATCTTTTAACCAAAGATAACATGCAGGGCCCTAATAATCAAACCATGCATATTCACTGCACATGCCATGACTCTACATTTTCCTAACTTGTATAATATTGACAGTACTTCTAAAACAGCAATGTTTTGAATATTTGATTATAAAAGATTTACCAAAAGTAAAGTTAAAAAAAAGGTTCAGCTTTTCACTTGGTAAATAAGCTAACATTAGGATTTAAGATCGCTTCACATTCTAGGAGTTAATCTTTGTACGGTCCAGTGGTCCTTCTGTAAGGTTCCAAAAACCCTGCCCTTGGCAATGGAGAGGTTGTGGGGGTGCTTCCAGAGGGTTCCAAAATAAAAAAATTGGGTATCCCTTTAAAAGCACTGGTGTCCAATGTTGACAGGTACTAGACTTTTTGGTACCACCATTTGATTAGAAGATCCTGGAATAGGGATGATGTATGTGCAAGCTCTCCATAGAGGATTAGTAAATTAAAGCAGAGCTCCACCCCAAAGGGAAAGTTCCACTTTAAAGACTGGTCCCCCACTCCCCATTAAGGATTGGCTCCTTTGGGAAGCAGGTACCCGAATTTGGCAGGTACCCATTCCCACTGTGATTGCCTAGGCGGTCGGAAGCAGAAGTCCTCCCTTCCCCCTTTTAGTCTTTTGGGACACGCGAGAGGTCCCAGAAGCCTACGGGACTATTTGGGAAGTGCAGCGCTATTTTCACATGTGCAGTGGGTGCCCACACTAAAGATGCCGGCGCCGTCTGGAACACTAGGCGGCTGGTGAAACGGGCTGCGGGGAGGGCACTGCTGTATCATGGGACAGGTGAGTGGCTGTTTTTGTAGCTGCTGACTTATGTTTTGACAGTGTCAGTGGAACTCCACTAGACGGCTGGTGAAACGGGTTGCAGGGAGGGCACCGTGGTATCATGGGACAGATGAGTGGCTGTTTGTAGCTGCTGACTTATTTTTTGACAGTGTCAGTGGAACTCCGCTTTAAAGACTACCTTTTGATAAGATTGTACAGGGCACCTGTGAACCTTTTACAGGTTCCCCAGAGCAAACAAAAAACTATATACTGGATAATAGTTAAGCAAATTAAGAAAAACAAATACTTTAAACCTACAATAGCTAGCTACAGATGTTCAGATTATGCACTTTTTACATCGTTATATAGTTGGTAAGGTTGAATAAAGACACCAGTCCAACCTGTGTTAGTGGATGGATGTGCGTGTGTTTTTCAAAACCATTTCCTATATTCCTGTATACTGCTTTCGCAAAGATGCCCATTTGAATAATTTTTGAAACTGTTGATACTTCCCACTGACACAAATTGTGGAATGGCGTTCCACCCCTCTATCCTCTATAGAATTTACTTGCTGCAAGTGCATCAGGTGAGAAATACAGAGTTGCTATTCCACGAAGGTTGGCCATAGAGGAGTCTTTTTGGTTCAACCAGCAGTTTGAACTTAAACTAAAGTGACTCGATTCTTACATCCACACAGGTGAATGGTGGAATCCTCTCTGGTGTGCTATTGTAATCTGATGGTGAGGAAACTTCCCTGCCATCACAGTACAATTATTGGTGCTGCCAGCTATAGCCAGTGGCGCTGATCCAGCAGCAAAAATTAGACAGGGCAGTTGTGCAGAATTCAATCTGTAGCTCAACTTCTGTCATACAGCCACCCTGCCTACACATGGATGGAAATTTGGCTGGTCTCTGCTGAACTGGCCAAATTTTGGGCCATGTTTGGCAGGCTTTAACCACTTGCCCTCCTGAGGATTTACCTTCCTTCCTGACCAGGCCTTTTTTTGCTGCACTGTTTCAACTGGTAATTGCGCAGTCATGCAATGCTGTACCCAAACTAAATTTATGTACTTTCACAAATTGAGCTTTCTTTCTGTGGTATTTGATCACCTGTGCACTTTTTATTTTTTGCGCTATAAACAAAAAAAAGACCAAAAATTTTTAAAAAATATTTACTTTCGGCTATAAAAAAAAAAAAAAAAAAAAAAAAAAATATATATAGTAAACTCAAAGTTAGTCATGAATTTAATCCAAAATATATTCTGCTACAAGTTTTTGGTAAATAAAATTCCCAATAAGTGTATATTGATTGATTTGTGTGAAAGTTATAGCGTCTACAAACTAAGGTATAGATAATGGAATTGTACACAGCTTTTACTTTGACTGCCTCGAGCCACATTTCTTGAGGTGCTAAAATACAAGGACAGTACAAACACCCCCAAATGACTGATGAGAGGCATATTGAGTCCATGGAAGATTTTATTTTTCTTCCACAAGTTTTTGGAAACTGACAAACTTTTTTTTTTTTTTTTTTTTTTTTTTCCCACACAAAGTTTTCACTTAAATGATAAATTGCTCACACAAGCCATGAGTATATGTCGAATTACACCCAAAATACATTCTATTAACTCAACCTGCCTCTCAGCAAATAGTTTGAGGTGTCTACTTTCCAAAAAGTTGTTTTGGTGGGTGGGGGCATTTTATGCCCAGCATTAGAAGTTTATGCCACACATCACTCACTCTTCTAACCACATGAAGACCAAGCCTTTTGACACTTTTTTTCCATGAAAAAAAAAAAAATCTATCTTTTGCTAGGAAATTACTTTGAACCCCCAAACATTATATATTATTTTAAAGCAGATATCCTAGTGAATAGTTGATGCTGCAATTTTTTATGTCACATAATACTCGAGTAACAATTTTTCAAACGCAAATTTTTTGAAGAAAAAAAAAAAAAAAAAAAAACCCACACACTTTTTACTTTTAATGTACAAAAACACAATATATTGGCCAATTATTTGGTAAAATATAAAAGATGGTATGCCGAGTAAATAGATACCAAACATGTCAAAAAGAGAAAAGTTCCCAACTCAACTTGCCAGACAGCTTGCAGACAAACCTAATTAACCTAACAGTATGCGTTAAAAACAGGGGTTTAGTGAACGCTGTGCAGGCCAGTTATAGACTGGGGCAGTGGCCATTTTTTGTACTAGATACCAAATATGACATACTTTAAAACTGTGCATACTCTGTGCAATGGCGACAAACTGCATACATTTTTAATATCCATAAGCAACAATTTAAAAAGCCTTTACAAGCTGCCATTTTAGATTTACAGAGGAGTTCTAGTGCTAGAATTACTGCCCTTGATCAGACGTTCGTCACACATGCATGGTGCAACTGCTGTTTACATACTGGCACGAGTCAACTCTTTAGCATGCAGGTGCGTGGGGGTGAGGGTGTGGTTTTGTTTTGTTTTGTTTTTTTTAAGTTATTTTGATTTTTGAAATTTTTACACTGTCCCTTTCATTTTTTTTAAATCACTTTTAATGCTATCACATGGAATGCAAATATCCCGTGTAACTTCAATGGGCATTGTGATTTTTTTTTTTTTTTTTAAATCTGGGGTCTATCAGACTCTAAATATCTCCTATGCCCTTACATCATCTAATCTCACCAAGATCGGTGTGATCAGATGCTTTCTCAATTTACAAATGGCGCTGTTTATATTCGGCAAAACTGAAGTGATGAAATGCTCGTAACTTCCGATTTCTTAGATTAGAGAGATGATTGACACCATTCCAGTCTCCAATCAGCTCTATGGTCAGCTGACAAACACTGGCTGCATTCTCAGGTTCCCCCGAATGCACGGGACTGACCGCGAAGGGCCGTGGAAGGCATCTTCTCCCGCTGCTTGTAAAAGCAATCCTGCAGCTAATTAGGATTGCTTTTACATGAAAGCTGATCGCCGTCTGAAAAAAAAAAAAAAAAAAAAAAAAAAAAAAAAAAACATACCCAGGATGATGCCAGCAGCTGCGGGTATCCTGATATAACCACTCAAAGTCCAGTGATATACCAGTACGTTGCTGATCCTTGTTGGGTGTATATGCTATGTTTTTTTTATGCAGCCTGTGGGCTGAATGAAAAGGAAAAAATCTCTGCCAAAAAAAAAAAAAAAAAAAAAAAAAAAAAAAAAAAAAAAAAGTGTGTGGTATGCCCACCATTAGAATATACCACCCTGCATTCACCATTTCTAATGGCGGTCATACATGTAATGTGCCAAAAAATTATAACATATACATGCTGAAGCATAGGTGCCACCCACCCACTGGTCAGCCCAGGCTTCCACCTGAATTCCGGGTTGGGCAGTGAATGGGGGAAGTATGGGTGCTGCAGAATTTGTGGGCTGCCAATGGGGATTTGCAAGCACATTCAGAAGGATACTAGGGGCTTTATGGGCCTGTGTATGAATTCTTGGTGGCTGCGGGTCACTACTTGTGCTTGCCAACGCACCAGCTTGTACTGCACTTATGGGGCTCGCCACGCAGGGACCTCTTCTCCATTGTCTGAGCTTCAAGGTGCCGCTACTGTCTACAGGTTCGCATTCTGAAGCAGATTG